AGAGGTCTCTGCAGTGGAGATGTTGGATGGTATGGATATGCCCGCTTCAGTTCATTTGGCCACCAGGGGGAGCTGTCGCCTTTCCAACTTGGCTTGAATAAATGCTGACAACTAAGGGAGGCAGTATGCCAGTCATGTGCCCTGTCAGATCACCCCATCAAGCCTCCCTGCAGGCATAAAAATGCGTACTAAATACTGCTCCGACGTTGGCCTTGCATTCCCCATGCCTCCCCCCACCCCACCGAGCACATACCGTGTCACGGGACCCTCTGTACTTTTGTGCGTCTCCTGGGATACCGACATCACAGATTTGCGCTGGAACGGCCTTCAAGGCCCAGAGATGTCTCTGGATGAGCCTGACCATAAATCAGTCCAGATAAGGGTTCTACTGGAGTTCTACCCCTGTGGCCCTGCTTCCTCCCCTTCCTAAAGGTTAAGTCTCTAGACCAGGGTATAAAATACATCACCCAAGCAAGCCTGGTTCTAATTAGCACCTAGCTCAGATAGCCCCGAACCAATCCTACACACTTCCAAAAGTTAGTGAGATTGTGAGGTGCCACAAAAGAATGTCTCAATTCATCCCTGGCACTTCTGAGAGGGGTGTCATCTGTAAAGCTAGACGGGAGACAGGCATGGAACCCCCCCCCAAGCCTCTGTTCTCGATTAAAGCCATGGTTTGGACACAGCCTGCGTCGACTCCCCCTCCCCTCAACGCCTGGCAGACGCTGGTGCCTCGTGTTTTCTGAACCAAACTGAATTTTTTTTCTTATTGCCAAAAGCATCCCACGCAACATTTTTCCAGTGCTATTAAAGACACCTTCACCATGGGGCAGGGAGGACTCACTCTGCTCCTTGGTGCTGGGGGAAGTTATAGGCTGCAAGGTGGGTAACAGGTCAGATTCATGCGTACGGCTGCGGTGGCTTGATGACCAGGAATGGACATGGCCATCATGCAGCTGCTGTCCATCTAGACTCATCTGTCTAAAACAGGGAAAACACTGAAAACATGGTTAGGTGACCCAGACCTAAGCGGGTGGCTGTGAATCGCAAGGCCTTTTTGCCATGTGGTGTGTGGATGGGCGTCTGAGACCCTGGTACCTCCATGTCTCTGGCTGTTTGGACTTCCTTCCAGCAGTATCACAGGCTGTGGGACCAGTGGCACAGGACAGCTGGGTTTAACCGGAACAAAATACTTTATTCTGGAAAAATCCAATCAGAAAATGGGGGTGAGGCCCTTTTAAGAACAGCAACCATAAACTGAACTTAAAGAAACCAAAAAATGTCACGAGGCTCCTTCGGTAACAGATGCTCCACACACTCTCCAGTACTGCCGCACTCCTGACCCTATAAAGCCCTAACGAGGCGGTGAGTCTAAGCTGGGCCAGCTGGCTTTCATTACGTAGGTTAGCTGTGGACACAGAGCCGGTGATCATTCAGCAGGGTGATGCAGAAGATAACCCAGAGTCACCTCAGGCAGCCTCAGATCTGGCACTTCTCAAGACGAATTCTCCAAGCCGGCAGTTTAACGCTCACTTCAACTCATACCCTCCCCACACGCTCTCCTTACATCTCCGGCACCATTTTCTGGCCCCTCGTGACCCTCCTCCTGCCCCCCCCTCAGTCACACCAGCCACTCCCCCACCTCCCTGACAGCTCGACCCTTAAGCTGACGCAGTCGGAGTGGACCGTGTGGCTTGACGTCCACATTTTCTGCCAACAGACCGTCTGCGAGAAACATACAAAATGCAGATATCTGTCAGACACACACTTAAACCCAGCTGCTGCAGTCGAGAGCCGGCCGGGCTGCAGGCTGCTGCAGACAGTGCCCAAGGTGCTTTTCCCGCTGGTGCGTATCCGTCAGGTAAAAGAACCATCAGTGTGTTAAGATGAAGCACATCACAGCATCACGGGTTGGGGCCCCCAGGTCTTCATTGCTGTTAAAATGAGTGACATCGCATTAAATACCATCTCCAGAATCCTGACAGACTGGCGGCCTTTTCTCTGATTGTTTCTTTGATTCCTGTTAGCTGAAAACAAAACCAGCAGCAGACTTCTCATCTTCCACTTGGCCACTGCCATTGGACCCTTGATAAATCTGAAGACTTCTGTCCGTAGTGGCGCTGTGAGTCCCGCTTCAATCACTCGAGTGTCTCGTAAGCAAAAACAAAGAGGAATGTGCCCTGTTTGCTGATATCGCACCTTCACACAAAGCGCGGTGATTAATGTCAGGCCTCAGAAGGAGAAACGCTAATTAGTGAGCCATCTTTTTATATAGATCCAGGTTGTGTAGTGAAGAAAAAACAAGGAGCTTGTAGTGAAATAATTAAAAACATTAATTTGACCCTCAGGTCTCAGTCTGGGGGATTTCACTCGCAGCGCCGCAATTCCACTATGGAGATTTGCTCTGGAATTAATTCGGCCCAAGGCCACTCCGTCGTATCTGTCTAGTGGCTCTTAAAAGGTCAGAGTTGTCATTAGACAGCAGTGCAGCAGACAGCTCTGCCGGGGTGTATCGATTTCCCAGAATCCACCGTCTTGAGTTTAAACTTTACATCTTAGGAGGGCTGTCAAAATGTCAGGTCGCCAGAAATGTCTCCGTTGGAAGCGGCCGCGGCTCCCAGCACCGACAGAGGCCTCATCAAAGGCGAGCGAAGGCCTCGGTGAGGCCGGGAAGCTTGAGGATAAATGGCAGGGGGGGTCCAACACCCCTAGAGGGGCAGGACCAGAGGCCAGCGCACCAGCCAATCACCAATCACAGGGAAAGTTGGTTATTGGGGCTTGCCAGTTCCCATGAGCGGCGCCTCGCTCGCTCTCTATGTTGGGGTGATTAGTTTCACTTTGTTTGATATATTTAATCTTTGTCACCAAGGATTGTTTTGTTGTACTGAGTGTGCACAATGGCATTTAAAACATAACAGGAAACAAATGGTTTTTATTTGGTAAAGGCAGGCCATTTTTGTTTATTCACATACATCAGCAGAGCACACAATAACCTGCGGTAATATTATTTCACGAGTCACAGCAAGCCCTCCCCCCCCCACAGCAAAGGCGTCCGGCGGCCTGAGATGGGGAGACCCGCCCAAGCCGCAAAGTGCTGTTATCACACTTTCCGCAGTCTGGCGTGAACATGTCACGCTGCGCGGAGGATAACTATAGATCCTTCCAGAATGCTCCGGAGGCTGTGTTGTTGGCGCATTACACTTGAAGACTTCATTTTCTTTGGTTTGCCTTAAAATAACAAACTTCAGCTGCCTCTGTGCTCCCTGTCCCCCCCCCCCCGCATCAGCGTAATGCGAGAACAAAGAGAGCTTCTTGGGTTTATTACGCAGATCAGAGCTAAGCTCAGGTGTGAGCAGCTGCTAGATGACAGGAAGCTCAGTGCTTCATCACACAGCTGCCAGACAGCATGTGTATGGGGGGGGCAGCAGAGGTATTAACATGCAGTTCATTTTCCAGTGAGCAGGTGCATCACGAAATGCTGGAGGTGGGAGGAGCTGCAGATTCATGCTCTTAAAATGTGCATGGAGTGTTATGTTAACGCTTAATGATTTATCTCTTGCAGCCCCCATCGCTCTGGCACCGGCAACATGGATTTTACCCTGAAGTCCTTCCCCTGCTCTGCGTTTCCAATGCTTTTATCAGACCCTAAATGAGCCAGAGAGATGAGCCGATCATCTGCATGTGAGAGGGTGATGAGTTTTCGTTGCCGTCGGTCCACTGAATGCTGATTGGCCGGCCATGCGACGCCCCCCCCCCCCCCATCCCCCCTGCCAGCCACAAATGCTGATTGGGCGACCATTAGACAGCCCCCCTGCCGCGGGCCACAAAGGCTGATTGGCTGGCCACTAGATGGTCCCCCGCGGGCTGCAAATGCTGAGCCTCCTTATGTCACTGCACGTTTTCCGCTAGTTAGTTGCACCTGTCATGAGAGACAAATTAGTTGACGCTGTCCCCCTCCATCCCTCGTTCATCTTGTGAGTCTCCGGCCTTTACTGGCTCGTTGCCCAGGTAAAGAGGGGCTGTACTGCCCTCCCAACACACCACCACTGATGGCAGGAAGGTGATGGGCGTCAGTCCCTCATGGAGGTCGTATCTTGCTGGCATCTGTCTGCTCCATGGATGTGGGAGAACCTGAGGAGGAGAAATGGCAGAATTAAGGCGAGCCCCCACGTCAGAGGCAGGAATGGCACCGTCGTGTAAACGTCCACGCCTCTGTGGAGGAAAGAATCAGAAGGACCAATGAGGTATAACTTATGACTGAGCCCCCAGACTCCATCTCCATGGGGGTTGGGGGGGTTAATAATGCTGTAATAGCTATAAACAAGTAACATCCGGCATCTGATTCATTTAATATTTTCCCAATAAAATCTGTAATAACTAACGGGACCCGGCTATTTCATTGGGACCAGCGTTTTCTAAATTGCCGTTGGCAGGAAAACATCCTTCACATGGAAAGATGCAGATAAAAGGTGGGGCAGGGTCAGTAATCACACGTGCTTTCCTCAAACACTCCCGGCAGCACGGGCACGCGAATCAAAGCCATGCTAATGAGAAATGAATCATCCGAAGGTGCAGGAACTTATCACGCTCCCTCTGTTTTTCTTCATTCATAATAACCCTTTCTCCGTGTGTCCGTGAGGCAGCTCCCAATTGCCCAGGTGTCCGTGGGACAGCCGCCCATTGGCCAGGCGTCCATGGAACAGCTCCCCATTGGCCGGGTCTCCATGGGGCAGCTCCTGATTGGCCAGGGGTCGATGGGAGCGTTTGCAGCCCAGAGCTTCAAGGAGAAGAAACGTAAAACCAGAACCACATTCAGCTCGCTCACATTTTTCTTTTTAACGTGACATTTAGCAAAGATGTATAAGAAGTCAGCCACATCCTAGTGGCATATTAGTGATTCTGAGGAAAATCTAGTCCTAAAATGAGTTAAGAGATCTGTAAATCGATGTACAACAGCAAGAAACTGAACGACAAGGAAGAAGCGAGGGAATAACTGGAGCTGGAGTTCGTTGTGAAATGGTCACATTTAATGAACAACTCCTCATTTTATAGACATCTATAAAAAGAACCCAGATACCGGTTACAAGAATCTAACCCTAATACATACATTATTAAATAATAAACTTTTCATGTTAAAGATACATATCATTGTTTACAAAATATGATCGGGGGAATTAAGCAATTATGAGGGTCTGTAAAGCTGAGATCCTATATGTATATTTTCATTTAATAATAAACAAATACATAAAGCACAACTAGACGTCTTGAGTAACATAATATCAAGTTGTGGTACCGATTATAAAAAAATTGTAAAAACACATCTGCAAAGGCGACAGAGTTTGAAAGCAAAACATGTTGTTTCCAACCGGAGCTTATTCATATTGACTATATTGCCTCATATTTACAGGAGAAAACAAACCAAAAAGCGGTGATGGAAAAAGAACTGTTTTCGGTATTGTAATGGTTATTTCCGCAGCTGGAGCTTGTGATAACTGTACAGAAAAAGGAAAAAAAAAAGTAAGAAATAATTACTAATTTCCCCCCAAAATGTTAGTCCTCTCTTTCCTTGTCTTCTGTGTTGCTGGACGCAGATTCCTGGAATTCACATCGGGAAGCCAAGGATTCGGGAAAAATGTTTCCGAGACAAGTCTTTGGCATGGAGAGTTAGCTGTATGTAGCTGCAAAGTATGACAAACTGAGGAAAAGACAAAGAAGAAAAGGGAAAGAAAAATATAGGCATTCCTGGAGCTTTTGGCTAAGTATCAAAAATAATCAGTGAATCGATCGATTGAACAGGAGGAAGAGGGATGAGGCTCGATTCTGTTCCAGTCGTTTCCCCCGGATCCTTCGCTTCTGTCCGACGCGCGTCCCGTGTCTGCATGAAGCTTTTTGTTTTTTTTTTTTCTTCTTTTTTTGTAGAAATTTTCGTCACTTTTTGTTTGTGTTTATGCTTTTCTTCGTGAGAAATCTGAATTAAATTATTAATGCACTATATCCATTTAACATGTGCAAAATAGACAGGGATGTTCCTCGATTTTCTTCCACAGGAATGAAACACCGATATCTGGGGGGGGGGGGAGGAGAAATGAAATTATTAAATGTCAGTGAGTGATGACAGACTCCTGTCCTTCAAACACAATATATTAATATCTTGAAATAATATCGATATTTTAGGACACATTAGAGTAGGAAGCATGTGGGAGGTAAACCATAACAAGTAAGATGAGTAATTTAACTGCGCTGTCACACTCGTTATTCATCAGAGAATAACTTAATAAAAGACAGGGACGGCGGAGATGGAAAGTGTCACTTAAACCTGTCGACACGGATCCATCACCCTCCCACCCGGGTCCTACGGCCCAAAATCGATGATTCACGGTTTGAGGTCTTAGACTGAAAGAGCTCTATCTGACGAAAGCAGGCTCTACACTTAAGGTTTTAAACTTCTGATGGGTTTCGGTGAACAGAACTTAATTTGAAGTTTTATCTCCCTGCCACACCATGCTAACACAAGAAGCTGTCTGGCGGCACACTGCCCCCCCTCCCACCCCCACCCCGTGTCAATAACTAATTTTTGACGAAAGCCTTAGAAGACTGTGACTCCAATGTCAGAGTCTGATGATGGACTCCCTTAGGCACACGGGGCCTGACTCCCGCCTGCAAAGCACTCCTGGTCAGCGCCGCCCTGTCGCCCGTTCCTCTCTCACATCTCACCCTGAACAGACCCATGGATCTCCATTGGCAGAACCATCTCCTCCCATCCAGCATCCAAGGCACAAAGTCTTATCTGGCTCTGCCCAGCATTATGTATTCTCTCATTAGCGATTAGCCAGGAATGACACTCTGACTTAATAATGCAACAGGAAGTCCTGTCTGGAGAGGAGACGTGTTCAGTCGTTTGGACAGATGTTACCCCAGCTGGACATCAAGATCAATGCTGTCCTGCTCTGTGCTCACTGACCACTGGAGATCCGCTTTGGACGAGTTCGGACGAGGTCAACTCACCACACGACCGACAGCAACGTGGATGCCAGGAGCAGGAGAGACGAGCCGGCCAGGGTGCAGCAGCTGTCCACAGGCACTGACAGCTGTGGCTTCGCTGAGGGGGGGGCCGCGGAGGGGGTGGTCTCTGGGTGGAGAAGGAGCAGGTGAGAGGCCTGTCCAATCTCAGTGCATTCAGTGCAGCCAGGACCCAATCACAAGAAAAATAGATCCATTAAACCACAGAGCCAAACAGAACAGCAGGTAATCTGGCAGTGAACCAAGAGTCCAGGCCGTAGTGGTGCACTTGACTAAGTGTGACTCACTGAGGCAGAGTGTGGCGCACTGAGGACAGAGACACTGAAGCTGTGTGATGCAGTGAGGACAAAGACATTGAGGCTGTGTGATGCAGTGAGGACAGAGACACTGGCTGTATGTGACTCAATGAGGCCAAGTGTGATGCACTGAGGACAGAGACACTGAAGCTGTGTGTAGCTCCCTGAGACTGAGCATGACGTACCGAGGACAGTGGCACTGAGGCCAAGTGTGACTCACTGAAGTTGAGCATGATACACTGAAGACAGCGGCACTGAGGCTGAACGTGATGCACTGAGGCTGAGTGTGATTCACTGAAGATGAGCGTGATACACTGAGGACACCAGCGCTGAGGCTTTGTGTGACGCTCTGAGGTCGGCAGTCTTGCAGAGGATGGACATGTGTGAACTCTACCCCAAAAATGCCTTTACTGTGCATTTCCCAACCTCCCCTCTCACAGAAGAATGTGTTCTTTATTATCGCCCCCTCCAGGCCATCGCCTGTTGTCACGAAGCAGCTGTGCAAATATTAAAAAATAATGCCGTATTTCATCACGGCCCCAGAAACTTGTATAAATTCAGATTCTTTACGGTGACTTGCCAGTGATTATCGTCTTTCCACTGCCCAGCCGCTCCCTGTCACATTCCAGGGCCCTCCCAGACCCCGCTGTCAGGTATTTCCCATATGCATCCAGACACTAATGTGCAGCTTTGAGACATTTTCTGAATGTCCCTCTGCTTTACAGAAGGTCACCATCTGATGTGTTCAGCTGAATGCCTGATTCGCAAAAAACGTGTGAAAAAAAAAGCCAACACATAAATGATCTAGGGCTATTCCACATGTGCTTGGAAGCTGCGTTTTGCACAATGCAGCTGGACAAACCCATTACATTTCCGATGCGTTTTGCAAAAACAGAGCTTGTTCAGTTAGAGGATCAGCTCTGTTATCAGAGTGTTACAGCAAGTTCTGGGTTTTGGGGTTTTTAAATATTGAGTTTTTTGGCAGGAATTCACTGCAATTTTACCAGGAAAAAACATGTAATTATTGAGGACAAAACAAGTTGCCTTACGCAGACGACCAGCTATGGGGTTAAATGCAACTCGATTAGGATTTAACTCCCTGGCTTCTCAGGTAAGATTTGAAGAACTAGGCTTTGAGAGGCTGATCTGATACCATCCTCAGGACCAAACTATCACCCTGGAATGCAGCCCTTCTGTATCCTGATGGCTACTGACGTCTCTCAGATCCCCACATACTGAGAGCGATGATGAAACTATACCTGGTCTCGATTCCCCTCTTTTAATGAGGATCTCAGTAGGTTCTCTCGCTTGGTTAACACCCTCATATCCTGAGTAATATATATTAAATTTTCTTGCAAACACTTTCACATTGCTTTTCTTGTTTTGGAGGTCATGTGATCGATACCAGCCTTGCCGTTGGCCTTTGAAGGATCGGGGGTGGGCCACTAGAGGGCAGTGCCGAGTTTCCATAGATTTTCCTTGATGTGCTGCTGTCTGCTGTAGTCTTGGCCGTTGCCTTTGGGCTTGTGAGAGTGTGCGGGATGCCTACCTATAACGACCTCTGCTTCAGTGGTGGAGGTGCTTTGCCGGGGCTCATCTATCCAGGGCGTGGCATGGACAGCTACACTCCAGTCACTCCAGGTGCCAATTTCCATGTCCTTGGCAGCCACCTGGATGATGTATTCCTTCCCCGCATAGGCGTCCGTGATAGTGTGGCTGGTGCTATCTGACAGCTCCACCTGCCAATCACACAATGGAGCATCAGTCTGTGGGCGGAATTAAAGGCAGACTGAGGCCAATCGGAGACACCTCTGTTGCAAACATCTGGCTGGTTGTTTTTCCTCAGAACACCAACACCAGCTTGCCTCTGCGCAGTACCAGGAATGTTCTGACCGAGGGAAATAGGCGAAGGACACGCCAGCCTGCCCGGTTTAGACTGAAAAGGTGCGGGAGCAGGATGGATCGGGGTGCAGCGTCGGCCAGGAGCGTCAATGGCTCCACCCGCGACAGACGGCGCCTCGCAGCCCCCTCCCGCCTCCTCTCCTGCATCAGCTGAAACCCGATCAGCTGAGGTCACAGGTGGGGGGCTGAGCCAGCTTTAGTCTCTTGGGGGTCCTGGGGCGGGACAGGCAGCCGGCTGGTGAACTTCCAGACCCCCCGCCCAGCCCCAGCATCAGCTTGTGTTTGGGATGAACGCGGCAGAGCTCTCCATTTACATGTGATTTCACGGCGATTTCCGGCACGCAGCCGCCATCGGTTTATTGTAAACGCCCGCCGAGCCGTGCACAGGGATTGGATCATTGCTGGCCCGCAGGTGGCCATCAGCTTGCTGCAATTTGGGCTCCTGTTTGAAATAAGGAACAGCAAAGGCGGAGAAGACTGGAAGCGGGGAAGCTGCTACGCAAGCAGAGAACGGAAGGAAAAACGGGATGAGCTGCACCCTAAAAGGCCAGCGGCTCTCTGCACCCCAGGGGGCATGATCTACACCTGTCAGCAAACAGGGATATGTAGCTGATGGGGAGACGGTGAGGTGGCTGTTAGGTTTGAGGCAGAGCTGGAGAGGGTAGGGGGGGGGGTGTCTGAAATGGAGCTCTGCTTCACAACATCTATACGATCAACCACCCCGGAGAGATGGCTATTAATATCCTTTTTTCAAAGTGCATGTGTTGTATTTCAGCCCTGATGCCCCACCCCCACCCAAGCAGGCAGCTGGGGATAACTTAATGTCCAACAGGCTCCAGATCAGGTGACAGAGTCGTCTCAGCAGGGTGGAGCCTAAGTATTGGTCATGGCCAGTGACCCAGCACAGCACCAAACAGAAAAATAAACTCCTTTGTTTTTTTATATCTGGCCAGGAACCTGGCCTCAGGGTGCAGGGGGCGGATTCTCTGCAGGAGCAAGGCCTCTCAGCCCGGCGATTGCATGATACATGCTGCCCTGGTACAGCTGTGCTTACATCTGTCGGCTCACGGGAGGTGCTGACTCCGCCGACCACAGAGGGCGCTGTTGTCACTGTAGGAGCTTCACTGAGGAATGAGCAGAGGTGGGAAGTAACGAAGTACAAATACTTCATTACTGTACTTAAGTAGAATTTCCGAGTATCCGTACTTGACTAATTATTTTTGTTTAAACTTTTAACTTATACTGCCTACATTTTAGCATAACTGTACTTTCTACTCCTTACATTTTCAAATCAGGCTCGTTACTCTTGTTTCGTTTCATTTAAATGACGTTTATTAGGGCATTTTGCCATGCACTTTACCTATTCCGATTCAATAATGCGCGCCATCCAGACGACTTGACTGACTGGTTGAGGCTTAAAGACGTTTGTAAACACGCACAGAAAAGACAATCCCATTGGTGTATTTGTCTTTGCACATGATGCACAACACAATAGACATGATAAAGCGAGAGAGAGAGACTAAAACCAGGCAGCAACTGGGTGGGAAAAGATATCATGACTGCAGTGGAAGAAAGAAGCTTGAAAAGCAAGTCGTTTGAAAGATGCTGTGGGGAATCGAGGTGAGACCTCTCATTCTTCAGAGGAGGACCATGACTTCTTTTCTGTAATAGCACAGAACCCCAGTTCCCAAGAAAGGGCCAAACAGCTGGAGATTTACTTAGGATGCCCAGGTGATGCAATGAAGATACTCAAGTCTTTCCTGACAATATTCAACCTGTCATTGAGGCTCAAAACTCCACTACCAGCCTCAGCTACGTGCGAGAGACTGTTCAGCACAGCTGGACTGATATTCACACCGAAAAGGGCATGCTTTGAATCCAGGAACTTTGAAAATCAGCTTTTGAAGCTAAACAGAGGGTCTGGTAGTCCTATGGTGTGTGCCTCAGTTCTTCTGGCTTACACAAACACCTAACATATATTTGCATACAAATAAAGTTTTTTGAACACCATGCACATTGAGTTTATAACCCCTCAATCTTTTACAGTACTATAATGCATGATGTGTTTAGGAAAAAGGCGATCGTCATGTATAATGATGGTTATGGCCAATGGAGCCTTAAGTATTTATCTGACTTTATTTTTCTCTGCTTGTGTTCTACATGGAGTCCAGTCAGCTTTGCCCTAAAATGGTGGTATTGTCCTTTGCACGGGTACTTTATACTTTTATACTTTAAGTATGTTTTAGAGCCTGTACTTTTCACTTCAACCTGAGTAAAAAAGTGAAGTCAATACTTCAACTTTTACTGGAGTGTTTGTAAAAACATGTATCTATACTTCAGCTTGAGTGAAGAATGCATGTACTTTTGACGCCTCTGGGAATGAGGTATGCATGTGTTTTCATAGATACACATAAGAAAATACAGAACACGGCTGTAGCTGTGAAGCTCCCCGGCTGTACTGCCAGAGGCTCACACTGACGGAAAGGGAGATTCTTCTCTGAATTCCTGAAGTGCCTTTCTCCTTCCAAGAGTGTCCGGGTCAGGCATCGGTCTGAGCGGCATCGGAGAAGATAGCCGGCCGCATCCCATAATTCAGGGGCCTTATTCTGCGCAGACCATCACCCTGTCTCGGTGTGGACCACTTCACCTCAAGGCTCAGAGGTGCCCCAAAAGTGTTCAGCTCAGCCCAGGTTGGCCTCACGTTTATTTTTTATTAAATCGCAAACTCACTCAGCTCCTGGAGCCTCAGGCCCTGCTGGGGCTTTCTAATGGGGATCCATCTCTCGCTGAGCGTGGGACTGTATTTTAATTGCAGGTATAGGTTTTCCAGACATATCTGAACAGTGAAATTTCTTGTTTTTATTAAAGTCTTTTTGTGTGAGTCTCTACCTGCCCAGAATTCACAGATCAAAACAGAAGAAAACTACCAATAACCCAGAAGTGGTGTTATTAACTGACAGTGACAGATTGCGCGATTATACAACGCTGTCATCACGGACCCATGTGAGCATTTCAATAACCGCGATACTATGAAAATACTGGCCGTTCAAAGCAAACTAAAGTTTGGCATTTTTGGATGAAAATTCTAGAAGGAATTGAAAAGCTAAAGAAGAACAGACTTCTGAGCCAGTCTAGGATATCCACTGGATATTCATGAATATGACCGTGTAGAGACAGGGAAGTACACACACATAGAGCTCATATAGTCCTGTCTTTGTGGGGACCGTCTGCTCGTCTCAATGGAAAAAAACCCTAATCCCAGCTATGACAACCCTAACCCTACCCAGCCCTAACCTTAACCATAGGCAACCTAACAAAATACGAGACTTTTAACATTCTTACTTTTTTGATTGCATCACAGATCATTGTGGGGACCTGAAAAATGGTCCCCACAAAGTCAAAATTACAGGTTTTTGTTCCATTATCCACAATCCCCTCCAAAGAAGACGCACCACTGTCTTCAGGCCCCATAACAACTGGAAGGATGTTAATATCCATTAGCTATACACAGCCCTGCTGTCCATTATTACCTCAGAACAGGATCAAAACAGTGACATGAAGAATGCTGTCACAGCAGTTATCATCTGCTAACAGACACCCCTAATCAGAGTGGCTTACAAAGGCGGCTCTCTCACATCCTCTTCATTTACAAAGCGTCGGATCTGAGGAATTCGTAATGGAAAATCAGGAACGCACCGTTCAGGCTCCTGCGGGGAGCCTCCCCATCCCGGACGCTCCAGGGGCCCGATGATGCCGGCGAGTCCATCTGTGAAGACCTGCCCCGTCTCGTTATTGTAACGGCAATTATGCGCACTGCCGCAGCCTGAAACGCACCTTAAATATCGTAATTAACACACAGGTGGAAGCCGCGAGCTTCCAAGCGCGTTCGCACGCATGTTCACGCGTGTCCGCGTTACATGGATCACCTGGCCCCGGGGGGGGCAAGACAAGGTTAACAGGCAGGGGTGGCCTGAACTTCAGCAAGGCCTTCTCCGGAACTTTTGGAAGGACCTTCATTCCTCCACACTGCTCACACAGAGGGGGAGCTTTACAAAATTTGTGCGATATCTGAGCAACATCTCACTAAATAAATTATTCATTGGGCTCTGTGCATAAACAGCGCAGGGTAAGAGGAGGGATTTCATCTTTTAAATGAATCTAATAACCATAATTATTTTGTCGGCTCTAATTTCTCAGGCCTGCCTTTCTGTAGTTGTTTAGAAGGATTTGCATGAAATATAATGCCAGTTTTGCTCGATTCATGATCATTAGCAATTTAATAGCCAGAGAGATGGTGATGTAGATAAATCTTAGGATTCAGCTTACAAACCTATAATAGGGCAAAATTTTGGGGCTTCTGAAGATACAAAGAGAAACGGTGAATAAGCCAGCTAGGCCCCTCGCCCTCTCCGTTCTTTGAGGGCTTCCTTTTGAGGACTGCGTGGTACGGTTATAGCACACGGAAACGTGGAGAGGCCGTGACCGTTTTCCCAAACAGGATGGGAAAGGTACACTTGTCCTTTCTGCTGGAGGAGCGTTTGGAAAATGGTGTCCGAGTGGGGTAGGCTTAAGGTCTGGCTGTCAGCAGACTTTGTTTGCAAACTCGGACTTGGAGCGGCATGCAGAAGGGGTTTAACGGGAAGGCGAGAGAGGCTGCCTTTCCCACCTACTTCTGAGGAAGGGAGATGGGCTCTTTCTCCTCGCTATACCACCTGGCTGGGGCCAGACTTCATTCTCTTGTGATGCTGACCGGTGCCTCTAGGGGGCGCACATCTTTGATCAACGTTCTGCACTCAGCAGCTTGCGTCCAAGGTGGAGCAAAGAACCTGTCCGAAAG